TTAAATTCGCTAAAATGGTATGTATGTTTTACAGTAATCTAAAATGCACACCAGATATGCATAAGTTGTTTCTTATTAGGTACTTTCCTTTTGTATTTTTACAGATGTTACCAATGCTTCAAGCAAACAGCAAAGCTTCACAGGATTTATTGTAGTAGTGAACACAAACACCCTGGTGCCTTAAATATTATCAATTAAACAGTCTAAAAATAAATGAAGGGTTTGTTTTTTAGGAAGGGTGAAAATAATATGAATAATATGAATAACAAGAAATCTAGTTATTACCATATTTCTTGAGGACACTGACGAAAGCTTGCACCTTAAACTGAAAAATCAGATAATGTTAGTAACATGACATGTAGGTATTCTGTGACTCCTAAATGCACTGTGACAACACACACATGTCACATTTATATTATTAATTAAGTAATTCAGCAATATTAAAGCATATTAAAAACACTACTAATGTAACAATGAGTTTGGTACCATTTTAAATTAATAATGACGTGATACAGCGTATGTACATGGCTTACAGTAAGTCTTACTATTCCAATTCTTACCATTTCTGACCTGGCAGTTTCAAGGTCTCGTTTATTGAAGGCATCAATGACACGATTGCACATTTTTCCAGAATAGTTGTATGTACTGTCAACAAGAAATAACATGTTATACATTCATCTCTTCCATGTCCAACAGACATTTATATTACTCATTAGAATTCTTATATGACTGTCATATTAAAAACATGTGAAATATATTTTTTTTTCTGTTTCATAAAATGAAATAAAAAGTATAACCAAGAATTCTAATAGTAATTAAGATAAAGAAAAGGGGCAAACATACAGAATGATCTTACAAGAATATTCTTATATGAATATGAGGTTATCACGAGGATACATTAAAGTATGCATGAAGACAGTAGAGTGGAAGTATCGACCTCCGCTGCGCGCCGGTTGATGTGACGGTGTACTGTTTGAATGCATACTTATCATAATAACCTTATTATTATACATCTTTTCCTTCCAAGGATACATCATGGAAATGTTCAGAATAGAATCAGCAAACTTCCAGAGTGTGGAGTCCGGTCAAACCCTAATGGCAGCCATGTTTGTTTTTATTTTAGAGAACGCTTATGCACGTAATCATTCTATATTTGAAATTTCCTAATATGGTAGGATGAAAATACACTGTAAAATACCACAAAATGATGGCATGCTGTAACTTATGGTGCTACAGAGACAGATGTATAATAATACTTTAGAATCCTATGATACATTTTTGTAAAGGATGTTTTATATGTGTTCAAATGTGTTTCAAAAGTTTTCAAAATTATTGTGAATGTATTGAATTGTTTTTACCAGAAATCAATTTATATTTCATAAACTATGATGTGAGTTATTCTAAATACATAAGATTTTACCTTCCAACAAATCCTTTTCCTCCAAATGATAGTGCCGCTAAGATGGACTGAAAAAAAAACACTAGAGTTACAAGACTGGTTTATGGATGATTGTCTTGAATTTGGCTAAGCAAGTTTTATTTTTAATATTCTGAGTTGATAATGATTCATATATAGTGGTATTCCTTTTTAAACTTGCCAAATGATATCCTATGTAATTTGATTTTACAAAAGCTTTGTTTCAAATTTTTAGTGTTGAATTTTGGTCTGATTATTCCTGTATCAATTGATGGCAAACTATTTTCTTTCAAATGGTGTTCAAATAATTATCGACCCAGTTTGTATCATTTTCTTTATAATAAAATAAACTGATGTCCCGCTAAAAGGAGTCTTTACCTCATCATTACCATACAACATATCATATTTCCCATTGCTATGGGTGATACATCGTCCAAAGTCATGTAAATCTGCAGCAGTATATTTCATACCACGGAATGTTGGTATACTGTCACCAATTGCATCAAGTAGTTCTTCCATGCATACTGCAAAAGCAATACAATAAAGACAATGGTAAACCTCTGTATAGTAAACATTTCATATCTAATGATGCTAAGTTAGACTGTATATACCATAACAACTTACAATTCACACCAGACATTGATGGTATATGGTAATAATACAGTGGTAATGTAGGAGCTGCTTCTGACAATTCTCTCAAGTATTCAACCAGTGCTTCTGATGACAAAAAAATGCATTGTCAATGTATATTTCCTGTAGATTTCACACTATTGGTATTTCATATTTTAATACATTATTTTAAGATTATATTAACATTCTACATTGATAAACGTCAAGTTAATATTGCATAGACTGATATGCACAAACATTCGTTTTTAATCTAACTATGTTTAGCTGACCAAGTCTAAATTGTTTTGTCACAAAATATTCAAATTAAAAGGCAGTAACGCTGTAAATAATCCTATACGCTTGCAAATACTAGATTGTTAGGTACATATTTACTGCTGATTTGGATAATAATACTTGTGCACAGCGTTCCCAGATTTTGACATGAAGAGTTTTGAAAGTTAAAGTCTGAAGTCATTTCTAAACATTTATTAAGGTATTGTGATTATTAAGCAACATATTAAATAGTAGGGTGGAGATTCGCCTTTCTTTCGAATTACAATGGGATCCTGTGAGTTAGAGCCAATGTGATTTGAAGTGAATCTTTGTAAACCCATGCACTTAAGAACAAGAGATATTATAAATACCCCCTGAGACAGAGCACCAACCTCCCCCCCCCCATCACTGTCAAAAGACACTCCATCCCAAGGGGTCCCCAATAAAGTTACATGGCACCAAATCACCCCTCCCCCCTCCCCCATAGAGTGTCATGGTCCCAAAGGTAGCCCCCAAAGGTGTTATTGTGTCAGTGTATGATTTTAAAGTGCATATACATGTAAATAATCTCTAAACTGATTGGTTAACACTTACGAACATTTTTTGGCCTCAAAAACACTGTTGGAAGGGAGCTGATGGCATTAGCACCAATTTGCTCTGCATGTTGAGCCTGTAAAAAGGTTCATATATTAAGTTAATCACAATGTAAAAACAATTTGCTCAAGTTACCTTGCCCTTTGTTGGTATTCCAAGAAAATGTGACAAATTTTGTCACTTGTACATGGGCAAAACCATGTAATAAGTAAATTTGGAATGATACAATGTAAGCACTGACTACTGGTAATATCTGATGAACTATGAATAATTGTTTGAGTAAGTGAATGAAAAATTCTGATAAACGAGACAAGCAAATTATGATCAATATTATATTAATTGAGATTGTGATCCATGATAATTTTTAATGGATACATTAAATTTGCTGATAATGTAACAATGAAACAAATTACAAAATAACATAAACAATGTAATTATTGTTGATTTACATAATTTATTTAACAAGCTATAAGCCTGGGCTAGTAATTTTCAAAAAAATGATAATGTAAATTGTTATCAAGAAAGACTTAAACATTCACTAAAGTGACCTGACAGTCGAAGGTACATGCACACCAACAAGACATTTAAATTACAGTTCACCCACAAGAAGGAAGTCAGGTAATGAAAAATAAGCTAATGGCCTGTTGCTCAACGGCTATTGACAAAAGATTAGTGCTGTATATGCCACAACTTTTCGTTAAAATTTGTACTTTTAAATGAAATATTGCCAAACAACCACACAAAGTTGTCAATGGAATAATAAACACATGTATGCCTAACACCAAAGCATTGGAAATAGTGGTTAGTTGAAATTCCATTTTTAACCAAAAATGACAAAAATATTTGCCAAAATTTAGAGAATTAAAGATATGGCCATGGGATGAACAAATCTAGTAGATGTCAACACAAGGTACACACTAAGTAACAAAGCAATCAGGTTACCAATTTTGAAGAAGAAGTCGAAAATAGAATGTTTGACCAAAAATGACCATTTTAAAGTATTCTGAACTGAAATCAGGTCGGGTCGTAACAGCCGGTTTTTTTCATTATTTTCGTCTTAAGTTTCTACCTTTCTACTGTCGACAGGTCCCGAAACTATTTCAGACTTATTCATAAACAAAGTTATTCCAACACCATACTATAGATGGCGCTCTCACTATAGGCCGCCACGGTAGAGTTTTGGGGGGATAGTTTGCATAATTTTTGGCAGATCGACTTCTCTTGAACAAATTACCATCTACACTCATCAAGGCATCCACACACCAAAAATCAAGTCAAGTGGTTCGGTGGTTTTTGAGAAGAAGTCGTGCACAGACAGACAGATAGACAGATAGACGAATAACAGACGCAGGACAGAAACCCATTCCATAGGCTCAGCGGACCTATGGTCCGTTGAGCCAAAAATGCTCACCTGACTTCACCGCTAATATAGTTCAACTTTAATTTTTAGCACAGTCATGAGGTCAAATATTCCATGTGAT